CCTTCATAACCATGACATGACATATGTCTTGAATATGAAGTAAGGTTTATGCATGTTTATGACAACTGTCATTAAGTGTCTTTTGCTCAATAATGACATTTTGAATGCAAATATGACATTGTTTAAGATGTCTTTGTTATGACATCTTGACAAACCATAGCAGTGTATTTGTCATGACAACTTGACATAAAATTAAGTTCAACTGTCATGTCGGCTGTCATGAGGCCATTATAACTGTGTCATGAATATTTTTCGTGACCTCAACTACAGTGGTACTAATTGAATTTGTCATTAAAAAGTTATAATGGGTTCATGACAGGCAATGTCAAAACCAACCACCAGACAGTTTAATGTAATGTTAACCAATAAAGCTAGGTGGTTTCTTAAGTTTGATCATTAATCTGCTATGTCATGTTTATGACCGGTTGTGTTGTCTTAGTAATGTCAAGGTGTCATGACAGACACTGACAGGTTATGATGTATTGGCAGGTGTCATAACAAAGACATCTCAGACAATGTCATATTTGCTTTAAAAATATCATAACTGAGCGAATGACTCTTAATGAAAGTTCTTACAAACATGCATAAAACTTCCTTCATATTCATAACATACAGTATGTCATGTCATGATTATGAAGGTGTCGTGTTAGTCTTATGCTCACCCCTTCAAGTAAAGTATTACCGACTATGGTTTGAACACATGTGAACACATTGATTGTTGGTGCTCATACAGGCACCACACGTTAAAGTCTTGCTTTTTTTTGTATTTTGAAAAATAATAATAAAACAAAAAATAAATGAATAATAATAAAAAATAAATAAAAAGTGGTGGTGCCAGTAAAAAATGCGGACAGGGCAAAGTATCAGGGTTCTGTCACTTCTGTCTATTTATTCTTGGTTTGATGACAGAGCTCTGACACTCCTGTCTTGTGAGCGTGTGGTTCCGATTTCGCATGGGCCGTTCGCTGTTTTGTCCGTGTGTGTTGTTGTGTTCTGTGTGGTATGCAGTTTGTGTCTTGTGTGAACACGTGGCTTATGAGTGTTCTCATTAGCTGCGTGTTCTTGTCGCATTGTTTAATCACTTGGTTTTCCCTGGCCATGTGCTTTTGTTTTTGTTTTTGTTTTGTTAAGTGTGTAAGCACATGGTTGTCATCTCTGAATATTTGTGCCATGTGCTCTCATGTATATTGTGTAACCTCACCCTATCTTGTTATCTGATTATTGGTTAATTTGTCCAACCTGTCCCCCCTCATTACCTGCCTTGTTTGCTCCATATTTATTCTCCTTGTGTCTGTTTGTGTCCTGTGCCAGATCTTATTCTAACGTTCCCTCTTTTGTGTTCCCATGCCTTGCTGCTGGTCCTGGTTTTCCCCTTGGGGTAGTTTTAAAAAAAAATTTTTTTACTTAATTGATTTTATTAAAAGACCATAAATTGTGCATTATTGAGACCTCATCCCTTCACCCAACCTGTAAACATCAGAATTGGGACAGCTGAAAAAAAAAATCTATCTGATCTCTCCATAAATTCTCACATGCTTTCCTGATTTCTCTTCTATAATTAAATAATTGAGTATGAAGGTCAAACCTATTGTGCATGTAATTAGGCTAAAGGAGTGTTGCTTGACGCCTATATTCACAGTAAATTACAACCTCAATTTATTGCATACAGGTTTTAAAAGTTGCAAAAAGGTCAAAAAATACTTTTATTTCAATCATTCCCCTGGGAGTGATAATGAGGGTGATTATGGTTGTCGGAGTGCTTGTGTGTGTGTTTATTTTCTCGCCATGAGATTGTTTGGACTGGATAAAGAAAGCGTGAGAGATCAGGAAAAGTGGGCTGTGGCTTCAGGGGTTCAAAGGGAGAAGGGGAAGGACTCGTTTGTTGGGAAGGAATGTAGCTGAGGAGACAGGCTGGTTAACTGGAGATGGTCTAATTAGGGGGGTGTGATGGTGAGAACCTTCACGAAACCCAGTGAGGTCAGAGATTAAAGCCCAGGCCTTATCTCTTTGTACCATGCCAGATTTTCCTCTTTCAAACCTTTTATTAAATGCATGCTTACCTGTTGACTGGTAAAAGTTACAAACCTTCCACTAAAGATCTACAAACAGGTTACCTGAGTGGAACCAGCATCCAGCTTCACGTGTTTGTGGATAGCTGTAATCTGAGATGCTTCTGGCAATCAGGTCTCTGAAGAGACTTTTTAGAAGTGCCATAAATTAGACATCTCCCAGTGGCTCTTTTTAATTATGCAGGCCAGCGTATCGCCCTGTTGGTGAGGCTCATGTAATTTCGCTCTGCTTGACGGGCTATTTGCAGAGTCACAGCTTGATGACATGCTGGCACGCTGCCCTTGATATGCTGTGGCAAGGCGGGGCGTGGGAGGATCGGTGCGGCGGTATTGCCTCCTTCACAGAGTGTCTTGACCCCTTTTTTTTCTCTTTCACCCTACTCTGATGTTAACACTGGAGACCATCATCATCTGCCTGACTAGATTATTTCACATTGGCCTACACTACCTTTTAAGATTGTATGCTAATGTTGAAAGGTCTAGGGTAGAGACCGTAATATTTAAATATTAATGTATTGCTGAAGGTGATAATGTGGTGGAAGAATACATGACAGGCTCTTCTTGAAGGGAAAAATAAACTGGACTTTATTTACAAAAAGCCGAAGCCACTAAATCCAGTCAAAGCAAACAATAATAAAGTGCGCTATGTACAAAATAATTGTGTGAACAGAAACAATAAATGGGAAAAGAACAAAAGCGCGGCGCCAAAGAAAAATGAAGAGTTCAGATGCAAAAGCCTCTAAATGCCATTTGAATTTTCTTCTTCAATGATGATTTTTATCAAGCTTGTATATTTAAGTTCAGTAATTTCACTTAAATAACAATTAATAGGTAATTATCATTGCCATTTAAGTGAAATCACTGAACTTAAATATACAAGCTTGATAAAAATGATCATTCTAGAAGAAAATTTCAAATGGCACTTAGAGGCTTTTGCATCTGAACTCTTCAAATGTAGAAAATAAACAGATATCTGTAACTGAACAGAAATACAAGGAGTGACGCTCACTTCTTACCTGGTGTGTATAGACAGTCATCTGCTAGTGCTACGGGTGCAGTGTATATCGCAATATACTAACCTGTGTTCTCCTCCCATAATATCAGTTGTTAACCGACATCTCCGGGCAAATGAAAAGGTAGAAATATACTGTGCATCAAAACTAACCTCACATACTACAACATGTCTAGTACTAAAAGTACAAAGAACAAATCACATAGCACCCCACTCAGTTCCAGTGGCGTAGGCAGAAATTGTATTTTGGGTGGGCCAGTGAAAATCTGAGTGGGCGTTTATTTTTTCATAGGAAAAAAATGACTTCAATAATAATTAACCTTAGAGGATAGAACAATTAATAGACAAACAGTTACACCTGCTCAATAAAGGCTGGACAAACCAGTATAGACAATAACCTGTCTATTTTATTCAGGCTAGTCAGCAGTGCAAAGACAGTTCACCCGAAAATAAAATAAGCTGAAATCTTGGCCCAATACTGGCTACGCCCCTGCTCAGTTCACAGGGAGAGCCATACACAAGAACTCGGTTCACCACTGAAAACTCATTTCGCTACAGAGAGAAAAGTTCGCTACAGAAAAGTTTGTTCCTTTTAAAACCAGCTGGGTGGCCTCCAATTGGCTCTCAAGCGCCGCCTTAAAGAGTAACTGAACACTAAACCAACTTTTTTTAGTTAATGATGTTTAAGAATGGATCTTTATTAATACCAGTCATTGATTCGAGTAACTTTTTTGACATTTGTGTATAAAGTGTTTTATTTCTACAATATATGGTGTAAAAACGTCTTAGTGCTGCCCTCTTCAGGTTGAACGGTGGCTACTGTAGTTGAATTTTCCTGTTGGATGTTCCGCACTTCGTGACGTACGCAGGTTTCAGCTCACCACGCCCTTGGCAGTATATAAAAACCAGCTTGGTTCGTCAAAACCACTGTAGGGAGTCAGGAGTTGGAATTGAGAGTATTGAAAACGATCAGGATAGAGCGTTTTAGCATCGATTTCGTCCCCTCTATCTCCGCTGGGGTCTGCCCACTTTTTCAGCATTTTTCAAATATTGCCAGTGGGTGGAGTCAGGCTCTGACCAGGGATTTAGTTACCCTTTAGTGATGACTGACGTCCGACTTGGCCAATCACAGCAACCTGCGAGCAGAGAGAGGGAGCTAGAGACAGAGAGAAGATAATGAGCACAACAACCAACACGTGCAATATACACTAGCGTGCAACAAAACAAAACATGCGTGGAACGTTACACTAATAATGATTGTTTGCTAAGGTCTTGCTGAAAATTTGCTCAAATTTTATCCTGATAATGATTTTATGCTAAGCTCCTCCTAAAAATGTTGGTAAGATTTTATAATGCTTATGAACTTATGCTGAGTTCTTATTTATAATTTGTCATTTTTTTATGCTAGTAATGACTGCATGTTAACTTCTTCTAAAACTTTGCTCAGATTTTATGCTAATAATGATTTTATGCTGAATTCTTGCTGAAGTATGCTAATAATGATTTTATGCTCATAAAGTGTGCCGCCACTTGCTCAGTCAAGAGAGCGAATGAGAGCCAAACTTTCCTTCTAACTCTGTACTCTTGGAGGCTGAGATGTTCTGCCTTCCTTTCTTCCGTGAAGGGGTCATGGTGAGGTAATTCCTCATTCCGGATGTCGTCACATCTTTGGAGTTCTATGCAGCCCTAAAAACTCTCACACCCCACACTCCCTGGATCAACATGCATGTCGGTGGAAGTTGCACTGGAATATCTCACTCCCCTGAAGTTAAAAGCTTCACATGGCATCAAAATGCCTTTTTCCCAACCTCATAATCCATCTCTCACGTCGATCCCCTCCCCCACCGTTCAGTCTGCTCCAGATGAGGAGGTTTTGTCTGCTGTCCAGACTGACGTCTGTCTCTCTTGTTTCTTCACAGGGTGTAGGATAGATAACTGTGAGGCCTGCTTTAGCAAAGACTTCTGCACAAAGTGCAAGCCTGGTTTTTACTTGCACAAGGGCCATTGCTTCGAAAAGTGTCCGGAGGGCTTTGCTCCCCTGGAGGATAGCATGGAGTGCGGAGGTAAGTATCATTTTATACACGCCTACTAAAAAATCCAGATTAATCTGATTAATGGTTTTTAATGACACCATCACAAATCCCTCTGGTTTGTGTATTAGCTGTTCCAAGATGGTCCTTTGCATCAGCTAGACCATCTTAGACCAGCGACAAACCAGCTATCAACTGGTCAAACCAATTTAAGGTGGACATAGTTGCTGATCAATCAGCAAATGATTCACTTTTTTACCTAAAAATTTTATGAATAAAGAGACTGTTGACATCAGATATGGTATCATATCCGAACCTTTGTAGCCATCATCATTGGTTTTCATTATCATTAACATCTAGTTCTCTAAATAAGTTTTCTTTCACCCAATAGAAGGTTGTGAGGTGGGCCAGTGGAGTGAGTGGGGGACCTGCGCCAGAAGAAACAAGACCTGTGGTTTCAAGTGGGGTCTGGAAACCCGAACACGACATATTGTGAAGAAGCCACCAAAGGACACAATACCATGTCCAACCATCGCCGAATCCAGGAGATGCAAAATGGCTATGCGACATTGCAGGAGAGGTGAGTGTATGTGTGTGTGTGATTGGATCAGCATATGTTGATCTAGGCCTGCTCATGCCTTCAATATAAGCCTTGGTTTAAGATAAAAATCATTAATTCCTTCTGCAAATCATGAATTTTTAAACCTTTTCCACTTGAAGAAGGAAATAAAACTGTGGCCGTTTCGGCTGCATCTCACCTGTTTAATCTTGAGCTCTGTATTTTTGGATTGAACTCGGCCGATTTGGGTTTTCAGTGTCGACTGGCATTTTCATTCATGATTTATTAGTATTTTTCCATGCTCACTTTAGCCAGCTCGCCTTAGGTTTTTTTTTTTCTCTCTCTTTTCTTGAGAGCGTATGTGTTCTCTCGCTTATTCTCCTCTCCTCCCAGTGGAATTCCTTTAAGTATGAAGTGCAGGTTTCCTCAATGGTACTCTGTTTCCTTTCTCTATAAGAGAGTTATTTGCGGTAGGTGGTGCATGTATTTTACCACTAAAACGAGAAGTCAAATCGGAGGGAAAATATTTTTTGAGTAAATAGAGCCAAGGAAACATATTTTATAAAGTGTTTAGTTTTAGAAGAGATGGGCCAAGTTTACTCGTGGAAATAATTGCCCTATTCAGGAGGGCTTATCAGGAAAACTCACGATGATAATTAATCGAGACGTTTCCTCGTGGCTTTTTCATTCTGCTCACCTGAACAAACTTAAATCTTTTGTGGTCACTGACTTATGATACTGTCACACCGAGTACACATGCAATTTCAATTTCAGAGGTCAGTAAAGGACAACACATTCACATTGAGAACGTTTTTGACTGATTATGGAAAGGTTAATTGTCAACCCAGAGACCTGAGGCAATATAAAGCTGAACTTGCTCAGTTTCCATTGTTTATTTAGGTACCCCAGTCTGGTACTCTATCTAAATTTCCATAATGTCCACCTTAGTATCAGGTCATAGCCACTGAATTTTGCTCCGTGAGGTATTAGTTTTGAGAAGCGCATCGCTAAAACTGAATCCATCCATCTTCATTTAAATCACTTGGAAGAAATAAAAAAATGTTTCTACTTTTGGAACATATGCACTCTGACAGCTGCTTTAGAGACGTGCTGATTGAATAAGTATGTTTCTAACATGTCACATGGCTCTTTTCTCGTTTCGGAGCTTGTAAGGTGCGGAGCGAAGGTTGGAAATAGTGATTTTTTGGCATGTCTTCCTTCTGTACCCACGTTGGCTCTCTCCACAGGAATTTCCTTCAATAATTCAGTTCCTCCTGACCTTTTCCAAAAGTGCTTTATAGTCATCTTTAATTAAAAACTGGCATTGTGATGTATGGTTCCTGGTTTCAATTACAGTATCTCATCTGAGGTCAGTGATTAAGTTGCCATTGTTAAAGTCTTAATTAAACGTGCAGTGCTCGCTCCTTTGTTACATTTAGAAACCAATAACCAAGTAAGCTTTTGGAAAAGTCCTACATGGTAATATATAGGGTTGGGTATCGTTTGAATTTGAACGATTCTGATTCCGATTCCTTGTTTCGATTCCGGTTCCTAACGATTCTCAATTCCGATTCTTTTAAGAGGCAGGGTCAAAAAAGTTTAGCTAACCTTGCTAACCAACGGTCTTTCAGAAGGAAATAATCATTTCTGAAGGAAATACTCCTTTTGTCACATTTTTGCATTTTGCCGAGATTTCGTTAATTTTAGAAAAGTGAAGCCACACTTTGGACCGCCGACGTAAGCTACTCATGTTCGACTCGCGCGGTTATGCCAACACTTCCGGTAGACGCTTCTTCGTTGGTGTTGTTCAGCGGTTTCTTCTTCCGTCGGCGGACTGTGAATATCGAAACTAGGAATCGAAATTGTAACTTTTGAACGATTCCGGGAAAAACGAAAAGTTAGTCCCGGTTCCAATCGATACTCGATTCTCGATACCCAACCCTAGTAATATAGTCATAATGAGTCACGAACTGGAAATAGCATGTAAATTGCATTTGAACATACCAAGAAATGTTTAACAGCAAGTTGTTAGTAATGATACTGATACAATACTTAATTTCGATATAGATATCATTAAATACAATGATGATGACTCTGATCAATTTAGTTCAATAAAGGATTTGTCTGACGGATTAAAAGTAGTGAAGTATTTTTGAACAATTCAATAAAAGAACGACATATTAAGAGTCATTAGTTTGGGAATCAGACTACTCTGGGCATGCTGTACAGAACCGATTAAAAATATAATTTGTTAATTAATCAGGCTACGCTTAGTCATGCTGTATGGTTTTCATAATAATAAAAAAGCACTTGCGCACAAGAATCATTTGTCTGTGAATTGAGCTACACTGGTCGCACAATATGTATTTGATTCACTAAAATCTAATTTGATAGTGAATCAGGCTACATTGGTCATGTTGTTTGTTTTTAATTCACTAAAAAGAACCAGTTGGATCACTGAAAATAACCAATTCATGAGAGCCATTTATTTATAAATGTTGACCACACTGATCGTGCTGTATGTTTAAGGGGTCAGTTCACCCAAAAATGAAAATCATGTCATTAATGAATCACCCTCATGTCGTTCCCATCCCGTAAGACACAGTTTAAGATATTTTAGATTTAGTCTGAGAGCTTTCTGTCCCTCCATTGAAAATGTGTGTATGGTATACTGTCCTTGTCCAGAATGGAAATAAAGACATCATCAAAGTAGTCCATGTGACATCAGTGGGTTAGTTACAATGTTTTTAAGCATCAAAAATATATTTTGATCCAAAAATCACAAAAACTGTGAATTTATTCAGCATTGTTTTCTCTTCCGGTTCTGTTGTCAATCCGACTGTTGTCAAAAAACTGATGTTCAGGAGATCTACTTGAGAAATATTGATGATACTCTATGGGTCTGTTCACAACTGTTTTTTACTTTAAAAAAATAACCAGGTACACGCCCTCCAAAACACTTTTGAGATGGATTTAAATTCGATCAATCAAACCACTTCAGGAGGCGTTTTGAGTTGCATTTCAAACGAAACTGGACATGTGTAAATGCATCTGGTTGCTAAAAGCACATATATGCAATTTTTACTGTTCCCACAATGGTAAAAAAAAAAAATTTGTGTGAGAGGGTCATACAGGCTCCTGTTGACAGCACTACTGCAACACGCATGTGGCCCACCGCAGATGAGTAGCTGTTCGCCGTCGCATCCTGAAGCTCAACACACACTTATCTTAATTAAAAGTAGTGAGACTAAATGATCTCACCAGTACTGATGCCACACTCTCTCCTATTGCAGTCTTTGATCTTGAAATTAACTGATAATAAATGAAATGCAGTCCATATCTGTTCTCACATCTTTCTCTGATGTGAACACCGCGTTAAATTAGCATATAGAGTGGGAATTAAAGATCGGATTTATATTTGTTTTGCGTTGGAACATTTATGTTGCCAAGTGTGAATGGAACAGTTTTTACAAATCGGATCGCTATCTGATCAGTGAGAACGCAAAAGTGATTTTCTATAGAAATAATGATTGTATGGTCATTTTCTTGCATCCCAGTGCTGGGACGGCAGATCAAATATTGTGCATGGTTGACCAGGAAGTTACCAAAGCCTTTGTATAAGGATATGGGCGCTTGGTTTAGAGTCTTCATAAAACGAGAGGCCAGGATAACATAGCCCCCGACTAACCTCTTACATTACACTGGATTCCAAGGACTTTACCAATAAGTCCCTGAATGCTACCTAATACGACAGCTTTGCTCTGCAATATAACAAATTACTTTGTGAGACATAAATAGGATTACAGCCAGACTATAAACATGTACGCATGTGTAAGTTTATGTATGCCCTGCTGCCAAGCAAATTGCTCTACATGAGAATAAAATGAGGTAAAAGGTGACTGTGGGGGGTTGTTCTAGAATACAACCCTGTTACCATAATGCACATAACATTAGATACCAGACACCCGCTTGTGGAAATCGGTATAAGATTACATAACAGCAGACTTTGCAGATTGCTATGGATTAGACAAAGGCAGGAAATATGAGAAGGTAAATAACATCAGATGAGTTATACATGTGAATATATTTCTGGCATTGTTTATCTGATCATCCAGCTTCCGTTTCTTTGAGCTTAAATGTCGCCAGACGTCATTTACAGACCCTAGCTTGAACTTGACGCACGAGCGATTTAAGAAAAGATGAAAACATCTGGACACCAGTAGTTTAAAGCACTCACATGCACCAGTGCAACAGTAAGTACAAGGCCCTTTTTTCTGTAGATATTTACAATTACTTTAGATTGGGGGTTAGCACATGAATTACGATATTTTTTAGATCGGTTTCAGGTCTCATTGATACGGAAGCTTGTTTCCTCCACAGAATGAAAAATAAAAAGTTAATTTCGACTTTATTTCTCAGAATTGCGAGATGTAAAGTCAGAATTGCGAGATATAAAGTCAGAATTGCATGATATAAAGTCACAATTGCGAGATATAAAGTCAGAATTGCGTGATATAAAGTCGCAATTGCGTGTTATAAAGTCAGAATTGCAAGATATAAAGTCAGAATTGCGAGATATAAAGTCAGAATTGCATGATATAAAGTCACAATTGCGAGATACAAAATCACAATTGCGAGATATAAAGTAAGAATTGCTACATATAAAGTCGCAATTGCGTGTTATAAAGTCAGAAATCCATGATATAAAGTCAGAATTGTAAGATTTAAACTATTCTGAGGGGTGAAAAAGTTAGTCTTTTTTTTCTCCTTAGAATTGGTAATGATAACCTGATAACTCGCAATTGCGAGTTTATATCTCACAATTCTGAGAAAAGATGTCAGAATTTCGACATATAAACTCGCAATTATGTGTTGTAAAGTCAGAATTGTGAGATAAAAAGTCGCACTACTGTCTTTTTTTCTCAGAATTGCGACTTTATATCATGCAATTGTGATTTTATATCTCGCAATTCTGACTGTATATCTCGCAATTCTGACTTTGTAACACGCAATTCTGACTT